TGGCTAGTATAGATAGCGCGCTCTCGCCAGTGAAACCAGGAGCCAAGGCTAGCTCCTTACGCCCTGCATGGTCAAACTAAACTCGCATGCATCCATGAGTGTCCGCGCCAAACCATTTTCTGATTGCATGCCGTGAAATTACTAACGTTGCTTATAAACATATTTTCGAGTCAAACAAAAGTGAAAGAAGGTCCCCTATATAGCTTACTCAACTTAATTCTAAAGATCAGTCTTTCAGGTGCGCGCGCGCGAATCAATTTTAGGCACAGGAGCAAGAGGGAAATTTGTTTTTCAAATTAAAGCAAACCTCTTTTATGTAAGTTACACTCTCATTTACTTAAAGGACCCTCGGCAGTAAGGTTAGCAATGTAGATTAACTACATGTAAACAAAAGCAAAAATGATGGGAAAGCATAATACTTTATGATTCATCCCTTGCTTGTCATAATTTATTTACGAGATTCTGTCAACCATAATTTGAATTTAAATTCACATTACGCCATAGGACACCCAAGCTCTTCAACCAGCTAGGCCAGAATTTTGAACATTTTTTGTCGCTTAGCAAATGAACAGGTGGAAGAGCATATAAAGGGTGTTAGTTGACTCTCACAAGTCATCAAACTGCTGTTTTTCTAGCAGGTTGGCAAAAGTATCCCATTCTCCAAAAAAGCCTAGAAATTTCAAGGAAAAGGTGGCCTTCTCCTAGCAATGGTTTCTCCAACTGATCGGCCTAGCGTGGCGTTTAGTGGAGAAACCACTTCTCGTATACACTTACTGCTTCTAATTGAATCTAGCGGTCAATAGATCTAGATTATCGTCTTTTAATTTTTCGAAGCATCGCGAGAGAAAGTTTGATACAACCAATTCAAAGTGGAGAAGTACATATGTTACCCTGCGATTACGATTAGTGCTTTATAAACCCTCTGTGAAAAATAAGAAATTCAAAAAAGCCTTGCAGCACATTAGGTATGGCCCGCAAATCACTCGAAACTTAGCCTTGGCCCAGACTCCTTAGTGAAGCCGAAAAAGGGCGAATAACAAAGAAGCGATCGCAAAGAAACCGCGCGAGGGATTGAGGAGGAAAAAGGGAACCCGAACCCTAACTCAACCAATTAACTCAACCTTCCCTCCTCCCTCCGTCCCTCGCTCGCCAACTTTTCAGTGACGGATCCAGACGTTCTGATAAGGAGGTGGGGGGGGGGGGGCTGGTCATCTAGACCCTGAGACAAGACGGGGGACCGTCTCAAAATTTTTTTTCGGCCCTTCGGGCCTCAGTTTGGTCTAGAAATAAGGGGGAGGGCCCCCTCCCTGGATCCGCCACTGCTTTTTATATACCCATTACCATTTTCTCCAGCAAGAAGCCGAAGAGAGTGACGCAAAATCCGCAAAATGGGGAGCGGAGAGTCAAAAACAGCAAAAGAGTGGGCGAGGGTTAAAGAGAGAAGGCGCTCATTTTTTGCCACCCTTTTTTTTTTCACGACACAGTTTTTCCTTTGTGTTGTCCACATTATCTTAAAGCCTGGAACGAGCAACGAATTTCAGTGTGGACACATGTAGAAATTCTAGTTGAGCTATTACTTGTAAGGGTACACACGGGTTGATTTATTTCTCTCCTGTCCCCTCCCCGCTTTATGGCTTTGATTCGAGCGTTCATTGGTCAATTGCTTTCTTTACTTTAGTACGGATTTACTTGATCCCAGAACGTGTATTGCTGTTTCGTGAGTTTAACACGATTAACCTTCAAACTACAAGATCAATGGCAGTTTGAGGTAAACAACGTTATAGTCCTTGCTATTGAACGAAAAAGGATAAGACACTTTTCTTTTACTTTTGTTTTCAAGATTTCGTCGCCAAATTTGCCGCCATCGTGGACAGTTGCAGATCATATTTCTCCCAGGCTGGCCTCACGGCTCGTGTGAACTGTAAACTCTCCTCACTTATTGCAGATTTTAACCTTCATAATGCCCTCTCTAACCGGTGAAGAGATCACTTTTTTTGTCAATGGAAAAAAGGTTGGTAATTTGTCTAACCTCCCTGCCTCGATCGATCTGCGTTTGTTTGATCCCTCGATCTTCTCCCTATACAGTCACATACCCGAAAAAGCAGATTAGTGAAGTAATTATATTCTTTCTTTTTTTTTTCTAGGTAATAGAGAGAAAACCTCAACCTGAAATGACGGTACTTGGATATCTTCGAAACCACTGTATCCTTTGATTTAAAGTGTAAAAGATTTCTGTATTGTTGTTCCTCCATCACAAGCTCTGCATGTAAGCTATATATATAGCTAGTTATAGTTAGTAGGTGTAGGGCGATACAACACCCTTGCAAAGCGATTTCTCTTAAATAGTTAGCTACGATAGGACAGACGCACTTTTAAGTAAAATCTGGGGAATCAGGAAGTGGTGGTAAGTATTCCCACACTAAACAATAAAGACATTTTTTTTAATGTTTTGATTGTGTTCTTGATTATATATTCTTGGTTTGCAACCACGTGAGAAGTCGGCCATGTTGGGGGTCAAAACAAAAGAATATTTCCTCGAAGAATTTACATGAAAATAGAGTTTAGATCCCAGAGGAGAGAAATGCTTTTGTTCTTGACCACCAACATGGCCGCCGTGACGTCACATGCAAACCAGCAATAGGTGAAAAAGGTCTCAATTTGTTTACCAATATTGTCTATAAACAGTTATGGATGAAGTTTTTGTGATAACTGGGTTAATCTACGATTGGCGACAAAAAGAGTTGGGATAACTCGCCCTAAACTGGGCTTTTTTTACGTATACTGACTTCAAAAGGAGGAAATATTTTAATGGCTTTTCCTCTTCCATCCGAGTGTGTATAATATGCGAGCCAGCGAGTAATGCGAGTCAGCATAAAATAACTTTGTTTTTAACGTGAACTACTAAGTAACGTATCTATTCCAAAGGCAGGTCCTTTAAAATTCAACTTCAGAAAAATTCGCCAACATACAAATTGAACGAGGTGAAACAATAACAAAGGTTTGAGAATGCGTTAAACAAAGGTTTAAAGGTTCTTCCTCGGTCACGTTTAATGAGTCACACCATATGTGGTAAGCCACGTGACCAGAACATAAAAAACACTCTTTAAAACCCAAACGTCTTGCGTCTTTCATAATAAAACCAATGCCAATGGCTTAAGAATATCGCGATAAAAAATCTGACTTACTAACAAGTTTAACGTTCCTTCTCAAAATTCACAGTTATTGAAAAAGCTATGACGTCATTGGGGTATTTTCGTTAGCGAGTCAACATTTTACGAGTTTATTCCTTGCGATTTACTTTAGATGTTTCTTTTCTTCAAGTTTATACACTCGATAAAATTGCGGGCGACATGACTTAGGACTCATGACTTCGGGCGAGATGACTTTCGGGCGACTTGACCGGTTACCTTTTCATACATTTTCTTTAAAAGACTTTCTTGCTGTCGTCTGAACGCTAATTTCATGCTACAAATGTTAAAAAAGTTAAATTGCTTATGATTCGCCAAAAAATGGATTCTCTTTCCTTCGAACTTCTGTCTCGCATGGCTCTCATGATGACTCGCATGACTCGCATGACTCACTGGCTCGACTCGCATGACTCGCTGGCTCGCTGGCTCGCAGTTTGTCAAGACCCCTTCCATCCCCTCCATGCAATGTTGTGCCGATGTTCGAGCTACCTGGAGGGGTGCAGATTCTCTTGTTCTTTGAAGTTACCGAATTTGAGTACAATGTCTCAACAATTTTGTTGCCGATTGTAGGTTGAGGCAAGTGGTATCACTTTGGCTTTGGCTGTGATAGCCACAATCAGCAACAAAATTGTTGAGACTTTGTCCTCAAATGGGGTTACTTTGAAGAATAAAACAATTCACACCCCTCCCCCTCTTCTCCATTCAAAGTTGGGGTGTTTGTTGTTTTTTACAGGTAGTTTGACACCAGAAGGAGTATCATGTTAAGATCTCTCCTTACAGATAACCCTCCCAGCCCATGGCCAGGAAAGGTTGGCCATACCACCGGGGTCTGTGTCCCCTACTCTTTTTGAACAGCGATGTGGGTTTTTTTATGCCTACAAAAACCAGATAAGTGAAAGTGCTGTGGGACGGGACCTATGGTTGTTTGTCCTTATCTGAGAAGACTTGGAAGTCTAACAATTTGCAGATGTCATTACATGGGAAACACTTCCTTCTCAGTTATTTAAAGACCTCGAGTATTGTTCTGGCTGGGGTATGAACCCGTGACCTCCTGCTCAGCAGACGAGCGTTCTCCCAACTGAGCTAACCAGGCAGTATAAGGTAGCAGACCAGTGCAGGTGTGAGAGTACAGATATCAATGAGAATCTGTTATGGAGGATTTGCAGTTGGTTATACATGTCTTTTGTAATAGTTGTCCTTTACTAATGCTCTCCTGTGCTGATTCCCACCCTAAAAATAGCATATATGCAAATGCCTACAAGAAACAAAAATCCCATGTAGAGTGTAAGAGCAGTCCTGAGTTGACCTTAATAGATATTCAGTGGGCTTAACAGGAACCAAGCTTGGATGCAGTGAAGGTGGATGTGGGGCCTGTACTGTCATGATCTCCAAGTACGATCACAAAAATAAAAAGATCAAGTATCCTTTGTGCAATAATATTCTCCAAGAGTTTTTTATATAGTTTTCAAAAAGGAGGGTCTTTTCTAGGGAATGGTAATGTACGGGCAGGGAACCTTTCACTTATATAACAGGGCTGAAAAAACTCTCACCAACAATTCTTATCTCTCTTGTAAAACTTCAAAGGAATAAAATTAATAGTTCTGTGCGAAGGGTCTCCCAAAGAGGTTTCGTTTGAATGGTAGCATCTGAGGATTTTGCTCACATATTCTTAGGAGTACAGATTTCAGGAGCACTAGCTGTATATATTATTTAATGGTACATTGAGTGGTTAAAATCCACCAAACAACAAATTTGAAATATTCTTTTTTTGAAATAAACTGTTATTTTTAGCCAAAAGTACCAGTCAAAGTGTCATTTTTTTTCTTGTTATCGTTGACATTTTCCATGCACTTTTCTGCAAATGGTTGTTTACTGCCATTGTGTGCTGTTGATGGAATGGCAGTTACCACAGTGGAAGGAATCGGAAGTACCAAGACTACACTCCATCCTGTACAGGTAGAAATAACATGAAATACCATACCCTTATGATTAGGCTGGTTTTCACTATGATGGAGTCAGAGTAAAAGAGAAAATCGCGGTGAGTGCATGGAGACATTAGCCTGCGCCACAGACGATACTTAGCTTTGGTTAAGTCCTTCTACGAAACATTGCCAAAATCCTTGTTGTGGGGCCTCCACCTGTGTAGCAGGATCTGAGTATGCACCATGTTTTTTTTAGCCTGGTAAAAAACATTGTCAGTAATTTGTCAGCCAGGTTGAAAAGAAATCAAAATGCACTCCCAGTAATTTGCTGAGTCGGTTAGTGGCCCAGAACAAGGATTTTGGCACTGCTTTGCAGATGTTACTACCGAGGTTTTATAACATCTGTGACTCAGGCTAGGAGTCATGTTTATGACTGCATCACTTGCGATCAAGACATTGGTGAAAACCAGACTGTTGAAGCTGGAGGCAGAAGTTGAAGGATTGACAAGTCAAAATGCTTTTCCCACACTTTGTAATACTGGAACACTGTTTTCACTAGATTGTATTGCTCTGTGCTTCTCATTATGACTCCGACTCTAACCTCATTGCTAGTGAAAACCAGTTTTGATTATATTCATCTTCTGTTGCATACTGGGACCTGGAAATCCACTTGCGGTAATTTAATAAAAAATTTAACAAACGCTGATCTAGATTTTTTCTTGGAATGTTTTATTCACAAGGAGAGGATTGCTAAATCCCATGGATCCCAGTGTGGATTTTGTACACCAGGAATTGTGATGTCAATGTACACCCTCCTGAGGAACAACCCTGTACCAACAAACGTAGAAATGGAAAGTGCATTTGAAGGTAATATGTCTGTAGGCAACAAATGGACTTTTTGAGAGGTTTAATTTGTCTGCCATAAATTCTTTTTGTTGTACCCTGTTGTTAATATGACTTCCCGTATTTATTCGATTATTAAATTTTTGGATATTGAGAAGGGGCGCCTATTCAAGGTGTGGGCACTTATTAAATTTTCATTATTTTAATTCTACAAACTTATTAAGGGAATTAATTTCCAACAAAATAGTAGATTAAACAACAAAACACGAAGACATGTGCCAGAACAGACTTTTCACTGTTCACAGAAAGTTTATTTTTTTTAAAAAGACTGTTATAAAGAACTTGGTCTTTGGGGAAGTCTGTCAGTAGTATACCCACATGTAGTCAATTTCTATGAAGCCAGCTCTCTTTTTTGGCTTATATATGTCTCTCAGTGTAACGCCTTTTAAATGTGTCAGTCAACAAAAAGAAGATAGTTCAGTAAAGAAGTTACTACCCAATAGGCCATTTCCGAGGTCCCCGGGACCTCTGTTTCTAAACAAGGGTAGGTGCTCAGCCTTTGATAAGGAAATCATTTTTCATTCTCATGCAAATAAAACTCATTTTCACAAGAAAGGTTGTGCACCTAGGCTTATTTTGAAAGTGAGGGTTTTTGGAACTCGGAAGTGGCCTATTCTCTTCTTGACCACCTGAATTTTTAATTTTTTTGGGGGGGGAGCGGGATGGGTGGGGGGTGGGCACATGGTGAAGTGTTTAATAACTTTTCCTCCCTGCAGGATGGGCACTTATTGAGGTGGGTGCTAATTGGAGGTTGGGTGCTTCATGAAATAAATTACAGTATTTGCTTTCCAGGTAATTTATGTAGATGCACAGGCTACAGGCCTATTCTGGAAGGATTTAAAACTTTCACAAAGGTGACATCATAAATTTATTATTTTGTCCTGCTTTTTTACAATGTTGCTAGCTTAAGAAAGGAAAGCCTAGAATTAGGTCTCCTGATCAAGTGGGCAGCACAAGAACACGTTTGCAAACTTAAAAGCTAGGCTTTCTTTTCACTGACTGAGCTAACCTTGTGGCAATCAAATGTGAGAATGCTTCTGCATCAGTGATCATGCTGTCTGCTGATCATGAATGGTTTGTTGTGTTTCAGGAATGTTGTGGTAAAGGTGTAAATGGCTGCTGTGTCATAGTAAACCAGAATGGAAAGGCTAATAATGAAACACAGAATGGAGACATAAATGTGAGCTTTCTGTATTCTTAAACAGTTATTTAATAAACTCTTTTACTGTTAGATTACTGTAAAATTTCGAAAATAAGCCCTGGGGCTTATATTTTTCAAAGGCCCTTTTATAAAGGGGCTGAATTTTTGGAGGCTTAGCTCAACAAAGAGTCAATTTTACTAAGAAAGGAATTTTTAATTTCAAAAAATTGATTAAACGGTTAAGTCTTATAGTTGGAAGTAAATTCAAAAAATTACTTATATTTTTGCCCCTTTGGCTTATTTTAGGGGCTTTTTGGCTTATCTATGGAGGGGCGTTTCAAAATTTAATGGTTTTTTTGCATTACTGGATTGGGGATCTTATATTTGGAGGGGCTTATACATGGAGGGGCTTATTTTCGGAATTTTACGGTATATTGTTGTTTATATAAAATCATTCAATGCTGCATGGACTACTATTTGTCATTTTTATAATTTTTTGGGGACCACCACCCACTTGAGGGTGATGATATTTTTCAAACACTCAATCCCTTTTCAACATCTTAAATTTAGGGGGTAGACCCATAATTATTCATCAATCCCCCCTTCCTCTCAACAAGTTTTTGTGAACGCTCCCTTAGCATTCTAAAAAAAAAAAGAGAAAGAAAAGCTATGTGGAGAAAGGAGAGAAAAGGTTTTAAATTATTTTTACAAATTTAAAATTATTTCATTTTTATTTGGGTCACACTTGCAGGGTTGCAATGAATTGTTTAAAGCAGAGGACTTCACTCCATATGACCCTACACAAGATGTGATATTTCCACCTGAATTGATGGTAAGCCAGCCTGTGGGACACTGATTAAAATCTGGTTGTGAATAAAATGTAATTGACTAACAGAATGTAATCACTTAGTGGTCAAAGTTAAAATTCCAGTCCTTGAAAAAATAATAATTTTATGGAGAAAAAAATCTGGAAGTACAAACTGCGATGCAGCTGTTCTGCCAAGTGTTGATGAATGCAGGCATGCCAGAGCTTTTAGGAAGCGTGGCCAGGAAATTTGGTGAACACCTGAATACCTTGACTGCAAAGGAAAATCGGCAAACGAATTGCAACCTTCACAATAATTATTACTGATAGCCCCGATAACAGTGTTTCTATTTCAGGGAAAGCAGGAATTGCTCTTGTGGATTCTCATTCAGAAGTACAGTGAAACCTGTATTAAGCGGACACCCTATTAAGTGGACACCCTCTATTAAGCAGACGGTAGTCGAAGTCCCCAAATGTATTTCCCTTATTTTCTTTAAATGAAACCTTTATTTAGCAGACACCCATATTAAGCGGACGCGGACACCTAAAAAGTACCTGAAATGGTCATTTCTATTGTTGCCAACCTGTATTAAGGTCTCGGTAAATGAAAATTTTAGTACATTGCTCGATTTTGTTTTTTTTGGATTTTTGGCATGAGTGGGTCCTAAATTTTATTTTGGCAGAAAAAGAAAATCAGAAAGTGCTTTTTAACCCTTCTAAAATGAGCCTTTTCTGAGCTAACCAGCCAAGCGTGGACTTCGCGCTAAATCTTTAGAGCTGATTTTCTCTCACTCTATTTTAGACGCAAAAATCAAAATTCTCCGACCTCCAGTCGGGACAGGTTTTAAGCTATCGCTTTGAAACTTTCAGATATGATGGATAATGATATAGACTCAAAAAGGGTGTGAGGAATTTTCCGATTTTCCTTTGTAACTCATTTTATGTCAGTTTCTTTGCGTAAATCGCGCTCGAGATTCGACTTTTTAGTTTGAAATGCAATAATTCCGCTAATACGAGACATATACAAATTTCCTCACACCCTTTTTTAGGTCTTTTATCTGTCAATCAGATACAATAAAAAGGAAGTGAATATTTAACAACGCGAAAGGGCTGGAGCTTCAGCAGTAAACTCGATACCTCTGAGTTCGAGAACAAAAAACTTAAGCCCCTTTGGTAATTCGATGAAATAAAATCTTTTCTAAGGTAATTTAGTCTTTTAGCTTTAATTTGATATATAACTTGCCTTTGTAGCGAAAATACTCGCGCGACTAGAATTTTTTTCTGTGGGCACCTCGTTTTCCTTTACCGAGACTTTAAATGGACACTTGTAATTAAATTCCACCACCCAACATGCCAGACACCGGAAATGTGAAAGATAATTGCCTCGAATTGCCACCCACAATTTTTTTGATTTTTACATTAAAAAACGGGACTTGAAGAACTTATTTGATCATTTTCTCAGTACAGTATTGTTTTCTATTTCGTTTTGTTTGTATAGAGCTTGTTTCACTCATCTGATTTCTTCAATTTTGAGTTGCAATCTATGTTTATGATACTATGATCAAATTGGTCCACTTTGATAAAGAAATTAGTGCAAACGTATATCGTCATAGTCTCTGGGACTATTCTAAATGTTTCCACTGTTGATTTCAATGGCATTTGACACCTCATATGACTTTATCTATCGAAACCTGTATTAGGCGGACACCCTGTATTAAGCGGACACTACAGCATTCCCCAAGGGTGTCCGCTTAATACAGGTTTCACTGTATACTACTGAAGGTTTTTAATATAACAATTTCATTTCTTCCATTAGTACATTAAAAGTGAGCTTTTTTAATGTAATAATGGTAAGACATGAAATGGTTAACCTTCAGTAGTGTCCTTATACATGTACTTCTATAATTTATTTGAAACAAGTCTGGTCCTTGAACTTTCAGCTGATCCCCTGTTTTGTGGAAAGTCCTTTTCCCACCACTTTCCTGGAAGCATTTTTTAAATTTGATGATCACCCACATAAAGTGTCTGTTGAATCTAGATAACTGTAAATTATTCACTGGACTTCAAGAAAACAGTAATAGACTATTACATTATTTTGCTATTCACTGAATTCTTAGCTCCCAGAAGCTGCCAAGCCAAAAAGTTTGCACATTAAAGGAGATCTTCTGACCTGGTACCGGCCAGCAAGTTTGGAGGAGTTGTTGGAATTGAAGAGAAAACACCCACAAGCTAAACTTGTGATTGGTAACACTGAAGTAGGTAAGCAAGGCTGCTCCTTGAGAAAATTTTTTGGGAGTGCTTCCAGCTCCTAAAATAAAAGGTTAGGTGCCTGAGCCACAATTTCTAGGAGCCCATTGACCAATAAACTAAAATAAGTAAGCAGATGCTCGAAACTTGAATCACATGTCTTGAAACTCGATTTGTTAATGTTTCGAATTTTGAGTAAAGTGCTTGTTTGTTTACTTTTATCAGTGGAAATTTTTTGCATACGGTCAAGAACACACGTTTTTTGTTTTCGTTTGAAAAGCGCAAAATGAGCAGGGAATTCTGTTCTTCCTTCACTGGAAGTAGGCATAGAGGCTATTGCCATGAGAATCACAAGTTTTAGGCACCTGGGCAGGTTCCTTGTTTAAAATTGCAGTCGTCGACGAGCAAATCGTAGGAGCCTATCTGGTGACCGGGCGCTTGTTAGACAGCAGCCTTGGGTACGGGTTGCTTTTTTCCCCAAATGTAATTTAATTATTTATAGGAGTATTTTCCCCATAGTTTCCCATTGGCTGCACGCTGGACCATGAATTAATGGAAGTTTCTTTTTGACTTATTAATGAGTTTTCAACACCTAATGCAAGGTGCAAAGAAAGTCAGTTTTGCAGCATGTCATTTGGGCTGTAGCTAGCATGTATTTAATAGCTCGAAAAAATGTTTTGATGAGCAGGATTGGTTACAGCTCTTCTGTAATTAGAATTCCCCAAAAAACTTCCCTTGTCAATCGGGCAAAATCCTGATAGCAAAATCCAGTAGCCCTGGGCTATCAAACATGACTTCCTTTGCACGCTGCTACAGGTAATTTGGTTTACCAAATGTTAACTGTTCTATTTTCTTATTTTTTTAATCAACAGGAATTGAAATGAAGTTTAAAAAGCAAAACTACCCAATCCTTATTGCACCGACTCACATCCCAGAGTTAAATGCTGTAGAGGAGACTGCAGATGGTATCATATTTGGAGCATCTGTCACCCTTACTACTCTTGAACACGTACTTAAAGATGCCACTCATACTATGCCAGGTAAATAAGAATTTTTTAATTTTTTTTGCTCATTAGAATGCAATGCTCAAGAAAGCTTATAACGCGGGCATAGCATGGGATTATGCGGGAAGAAATGTTAGAGCATCAAAGCCCCAAACTAGAGGGTCTTTTGGGGGGGGGGGGGTCATTTTTTTTCAGATTTTAGCTGTGCGCATGAGCCTATGTGCATTTTTAGATGCTGAAAAATGACAGCACAAATCCTACTGATGGGTAGGTCTCCTGTGCTGAAGATAGTATAACATCATTCAGCTCTTATTTTTTGGTAAGAGGTAGGCATCTTAAGATGCACAGCTTTGGTGGTAAACCATAAGGATATTTGGCTGAGGGAATGGGGGGCAATGCTACCCACCCTGATTTCCTTAGCTACTCATCACATTGGTCATTCTGTGTCCAGGTATTTTCATATCTGTTATGTGCTTGTTATTTAACTTTCCAGTGTACAAGACTAGATGGTTTGCCGCAATACTTCACATGCTTAAGTGGTTTGCTGGTCATCAAATAAGAAATGTCGGGGTAAGTTGACCATACATCAAGTGACGGAGATCACTTTCTAATAATAATAATGATAATTATTTCCCTAGTTCAGAATACTTCGAAAGAATGTTGGCCTCTGCTTTTTTGTCGTGAACAATTGGACAAAATATACTATGGTTGAGGGGTCAGCTTGTAGTCCATGCAGGATAAGTAGAGTTGCAGAGCTGTATAGGGGTAACAGATTCCATCAAGGCATTTTGAGCACTGTCATGTAGTAATATATAGATTTAGCAAGGGCTAAAAGCGAAGCCTCCGTTTCTATACTTATGATAAAAGCAATAAAATTTAAAATTAATAACATGAACTCTTAGTCAAGAAAAGAAATCTTGACATCCCTATTAACTGAACAATGAAGCCTTCGGTATGAGTTCACCTTTTGAAGGAGGGGCTAAATGATTGAGAAAAATATCCCGCAAACAGACCTGAATTAAAAAAATTGTGTAGGTCTCTTCAATACCAGCAATTTACAGGTTATGATTTCTGGGGTCAGTATTTCAGTCTTTAAGGGAAGACCTAAAAGGAAAATCAGGCCGACTCAGGAACTTTTGTCTTCCCGTAAGCCCATTTAATATTTTCTTTCCTTTTCTTTTCTATTATACACCCTACAGTAAATTTTTTTTTCAGATATTGTGACTTATTAATGTAAAGGCTATACGAACAGTTATGTATAGCCTTTACATTAATAAGTCACAATATCTGAAAAAAAAATTTTACTGTAAGGTGTATAATATTTTCTTTGAGGACAGACATAGGAAAGCAAAGGATAACCTTTTACGCTATTAACTGTAATACAGCAACTTACAAGTTTGCATTTTTAAAAAAATTGACAAACTCGGGCTCGAATTGCCTACGAGTCTGTCGTTAGAATAGAGGAGAACTCTCGTATTTTAGATAAGCTCACTTTTTCAGCGAGAATAATAAAGCCGTAAACAAACAACGGAAAACAAACGCAGTAAACTTCATTCAAGCGGTATTCAGCTGTATTCCGGGCACGAGTTATGGAAAAAGAGCAGCACACTGCAAAACTGCAGAAATTCTTGAATTCTACCCACTGCAAAATTCTTGAACGGCAAGTAATGAATAGGAAAATGAATAGCAATCAATGGAATATGTACAAAAACAGCACTGCGGTTTTAATTCAAGAAAGGGGAGTAGTTAGCCTGCGAAAACATCCGTTTCTGCTCTCAGCGGCGAAGAGCGAGGAGAAACGGATGTTTTTCGCAGGCTAGGGAGTAGTCCGTCTGAAGTGTCTCTAAAAATCTCACGGTTGTTATGAATGACGAACAATGACAGATAAATAACTTAATTTCTTGAAAATGTTTATTCAAAAACCCATAAGTTAATCCTAAAAAGCAATTCGCGTAACAAAACTGGATCGTGGATGCGTTCGTGAACGCAAGTTAACTCGGCTGAGCATCCGGGAGCTGGGGGTACTCCCTTATATGGCCTATACGGGGATATGCTGGACAGGGTATGGTTCTCGTCCTCTCTGTCCTAAACAGGGTAAATAATTTCGCACAAGTCTGTCCTAAACCGGCAGGGTATATAATTTCGCGCAAGGGGGTCTATCCCAAACAGTGTGCATGATTTGTGCGAGTGTGTTCTAGTAATAAAATTGAGGGAGTTGTCCTAAACAGGGTACTAAAATTGAGAATGTCTTCCTAAATAGGGTATGTGTTTTAGGAAATTTTGTCCTAAACAGAGTCAGGGTTTCAAACCCTCAGCAGCTCACCCCCAAAAATTGATCGAGTACCCCCCCACCCCCCCTGGTTAAGCACATGGCAAAAAATCAATTTCAAATGCAAATTTTGTGGTTTTTCTTTCACGCCGATGTCAAAATGTAGAAAACGTCCATGAAACTTTTATAAATACAAAAATTCCCTTTTAAAAACGTACTTTCCTTGACCTTAGAGTACAGAATGTACCTCAAGTTTCTTCCGAATCCTCGCTGCCTTGGTTGCTTCAAAACAAGCCAAAGATCCGTGGTTGAATTCTTCGAAAGACAATTTCATAGCGAAAAGCTTTCGTCTGTCCACAAAAAGGAAACTGAGCATTCCATTGAACTTTCTCTGTCCATTTGTGTCTTTTATCGTCGTATTTTCAATCTTGAAATGTAAAACTTTGGTCTTGAAAACCACCACATGATGAACGCGCGCCAGCCTTTTAGTTGATGGATGGCATTTACTGAGTTATCAAATCCGTTTCATCCCCCACCCCCTAAATCGTTGACATGACCATTGGACGTTTGTGGGGGAGGGGGGTATGGGTGATTTTGAGGTAATAATTTTTTCCCAAACCTCTGGAGTTAGACACTTTTTTCCCCCACATATAGCGGTATAAGATTTGTTTTCAGCATTATACGTCACTGATGAGGAATATTTTTTTCGGTGTAGGATATTGTTTTTCCCAGGAATTTTGTCGCATACTTTTTCCTCTCGAAATCACCCATAAAACCACTCAAATAGTCAAATAGTCAATACTCAAGTCAAATAGTCGGCCCCTAAAATCCACCAAACATTTGATCACTGGACAGATTCTGTTATGCAATCATTTCTAAAGCCTTTTGAAACAATAGGGGACAAAACTCTCTAGGGAGATGGCAGGAATTCGTTTCTACTTCCCACTACCCGGAGAGTCCATTCTCTATTTTCCAATTGCCCATAATACACTCTGTTTGCCCCCCAAATTCTGCATAAACCATTGTTTTTAAATGCTCCTGGGAGTACTGCATTTTCCCAAGAGCATTTTAAGACAATAAGTTATGCAAAATTTGGGGGGCAAACAGAGTGTATTATGGGCAATTGGAAAATAGTCAATATAGACGGACGGACGCTGGCGTCATAACCAAAATTTCTCCGATAAATAGTTTATCAAATTTTTTTACCCATGGTGCTCTGCTGCGCGCGCAAGGGCTCCGTTATAAACCTCCCGTTTGTACCCAAAACTTAGTAGTACAATGTACGATCATGCTAAATAGTGAGCTATTTGCCCAAAGCGAAATCCAAAGAGAATCAAAGGCTCGTAAGAGCTAACCCTTTCATACATATAACAAAAATTATGGCAATTGCTCACTGGTAGATGGAGAATCGCCAATGGTTGTCATGTGTGCACCATGTGGGATGTACAAATCACGCTTTGCAAAGACTTTTTCTGAAAACATTTTGCCCAATAATTTAGTATCTTTCCTCTCTCAAAGTGGAGCATGAATTAGACATTTATTTCATGTTATCTGGTAAAAAACAGTGCAATCTTTGAGGCATACAACAAGATTCCTTAAAATATTATTAATACCTACCGCTTTAAGTATGCACCTAAGCTTTTGTTAGAGCTATTTTTGTTACATTTAAAAGTAATTATATAAATGAATTCACTGCACCTCAGGCCATTGGAGGGAATATTATGACTGCCAGCCCTATATCCGACTTGAATCCAGTGTTTATGGCTGCTAGATGTACACTGACATTGGCGGCTTCTGGAGGTCAGTAAAATTATATGTTATTTATAATAACATTTGTACAAAACCTCGCTATCAGTTCCTGTATGTCCATGAGCCAATTAGCTGAAATATCTGTCTCAGCTTTGGCATAACTATCCTATCTCTATTCCTCATGAGCTAAGGAGGGGCTATTTGCAAAAAGGCAATTTTAGTTTGTAAGAATGCGAAGTAAAGCGTCGCTTGAATTTTCAGTGGGTGGTGGTGGGGAAAAAAAGAACCTTTGGTCTTCGTCTGGGTTCATGGAAAGCTGCTACAGGACAACAAGTCTCTGCCTTTTATTTGCCAAAGCTGACAACTTTGGATGAATTTTTTGAAAATTTGAAAAAAATATGTACCGGTATTTACTTTTTTTCTTATCTCCTGAATTTTGTAAGGAAAAACAAGAAAAGTCAGGCTAGATGAGAGTTTCTTCACTGGCTACAGGAAGACAATACTGGAACCAAGCGAAGTGTTAGTTAACATTCTCATCCCATTTACTGAGAAGGTAAAGTTGCAATATAGGCTTATATCTGGTGAGGGTAAGGGGCCACGTCCAGTACTGAGGATACAGAGGGGAGGGGTAGAGACTTGGATGTGGAGTGTGGTGAGAGGTGTGGGGCTGTAAGCTAAAATGAATGTCAGCTCCAAGGGTCGTGATCAAACCTTTCAGTGTAATCAATGTATCTCTAGCTGAGGGTAGAAAACATCAAGATTGCTTATAATTCCACAAAACCAACCTTTTCACTGTTTTATTTGTTAACGGCATATTGTATTTAAAACACCTGTGACAATTCCAATTGTAACCATCACCTTCATAAGATTGTTGGCTGTTTGAATGATGAATGTTTTGAATTATAAGTGAAGTAATGAGATTCCGTTAACCATCCCACAGTTTGCAGATTATAAGTTATTATGATTTCTTACATAAGCTTCTTCAGGAGTCAATGAATACGTAAAAAGGAAGTCTAAATTCCAGTTCTGAATGTTCCAATGTACAAAGTATCCATTTAAGATGGAAGTGTTGGAGTTCCCTAACTACTTATTTCTTACATTTATGCTTCTTCAGAAGTCAGTTAATACTTCAAAGGAAATCTAAATTCCACTTCAGAATGTTCTTTTTAGAATTCATTGATCTATTAGTTGTTTTAACAATGAACATTTTCCTTTTTCTTAAAGCATGAATATGTTTACGCCTTCAAACAAGCTCGTCGGCGAGAAGATGACATTGCGATAGTCAACACAGGAATGAGGGTACTGTTAGAAAAGCAAGGCAATTCTTCTTCATGGCAAATCAAAGACTGCAGTTTTAGCTTTGGAGGAATGGCTCCTACAACAGTTATGGCTATGAACACCATCAAGGGTCTTACAGGGCGGTAAGGAAAGCCACTCCATCTTGTTTCCGCAAACAGCTCCTCATTCAGTTCTTTTTTATCCTCTTTATAACAGCCGTTTTTCCACATTAGGGAGCTTAAGCAGCGACGACGCGGACGGCAACGAGAACGGCAAAAAAGCAATAGGTTTGATTAGTAAAACAACAACAATGCACGTGCATCACGCTTTTTTTGTACATTTCTTTGGCGTCATTGCCCGACTACAACGTGAAAGTGCCTGAATTCACGTTTTGTCGAGGACGGGAACCCAAGACAACAACTTTCTTTTCTTTTCCTGAACTTTGATACAGTCGTTTAGAATTCAACTCCAAAAACATTTGCCAACATTTGACGAAGTAAACGAGATGGAATAAGCGCGATAAAGTTTGAAGCGGTGCAAATTCACTTTTTAAGTGACGTTTTTGTAGCCGTCGCCGTCGTTGTTGCTTAAGCTCCCTATTAGGGAGCTCAAACAACGACGACGCGGCGTCTATCAGGACGACAAAAAAGTAATTGGTTTAGATTGTCGAAACAACAACCCTGCACGTGCAAGTTCTTTGTTTGTTTGTTTGCTTTTTTTTTGCCGTCCCTTGACGACTACGACGCGAAAGTGCCTATTTTCACGTTTTGACAAGGGTTCGAGAGCATAATGGCGATTGGCCACGTTTTCAAGCGCTCCCGCTCTTGCAAATGTTTACGTAAGAAAGGAAGCGAGGAGAACGTCTAGTTAACGAATTAAGGTTAAGGAAAACGAGTAGCTGACCGTAAAACATCTGAGAGAGCTGTGCGAAAAAGAGCGGAGGACGTCCCGGTAGCAATTTAAAAGCGAAAATTGTACAGACTGACGTACCATGAATGAGCCTAAAATTTTGGATGACAAATTTTTTGGTAGCTTTCTGGGGTTGATCTGATTTTCTTTGTACAGAGAGAGGGGTTACATCACTAAGACGTAGGGCTTTCTCGTAATTGGACTTTTATGGGCTAAATAAGTATAATCATGATACTATTAGCAACTTCCCGTAGTGGGGAGCTGTGAATGGTACCAAAAACTTGCAGTGCAAAACAACAGCTTTGCACGTGCATGAAGCTTTTTTGTACTTTTCTTTGCCGTTTTTGTTCGACTATGACGTGAAATTGTCATATTTTACGTCGTCTAGAGGACGTGAACAGACAACCATTTTCTATTTCTGTTTTGAATTTAGATACAGTCATTTTTAGAATTCAACCCCTGAAAATTTCAACAATATTTAACAAATTGACTGACATGGAATAAGAATAATGAATTTCGAAACAGCGTGAATTCACTTTTGAAGAGAAGTTTTCCCTACCGTCGTTGTTGTCGTCGTCGTCGTCGTTGCTCAATATCCCTATCATACCTTGGGGTGACGGGTGCTGTGTGATGACATAAAAAATTCGCATTATTCGTTTCTGGGAAACTGCCCACCTTCTCCTCCCCTAAGTCAACATTAACACTTCCATCTCACTTAGGGCAAAATGTTGGCTTAAGGGAGGGGTAGGTGGACAGTTTGCCAGAAACGTGTAATGATCCAAACATTCCAGAGAAAAACATTCCAAGATTATGTGAAAGTAGTGTGGAGTAAATATTACATCAATGAATATTATTTATTCGGTCTCTGAAATTTTTTTTCTAAGGAGTGAATATTGATCTCATTACAGAACTTGGAGTGAAAGTATAGTGAATGATGCATGTCAACTTTTAGCTGAAGATCTGCCTCTCGCACCCGGAACCCCAGGAGGTCAAATAGAATATAGGAGATCACTTGCTTCAAGTTTCTTTTTCAAGTTCTATCTGAATGTTTCTTTACAGCTTAGCAATCAGGAGGTGAGATGTCACAACCTTACTTTCTTGTTGGATAATTTTTCCATAAAAGCTGTATTGCATAATTGAGAAGTGAAGGGTCAATCTCATACTAAGTAGAGACTGCGGAAGTCATCTCTTCCTTTTAAACGAGCACCGCTGTAAGATGGGCATCCCCTTAAAATCAGGCACCCAGAGTTGAGGCTGGTATCAAGGGTTCTCTCTCAGAGAGAGTTGAATCAGTGTATGGTTGTGGGCAGGGTTGACACAGTCTTCAAAGGGACGAGAAACAGGATTAGGGCAAAAATTCCTCTTGTTTAGTTGTATTAATGATTGCAATATTCAGCTCAACATGGTGTGGGAGATGCAAAGAGAAAGGCAACAAAAAAAATTAGCAAAACAACAACCACGTACGCTTTTTGGTACATTTCGCAGATGTCTTTGCACGACTACGATCTGGAACTTCCTAAGGCCTTTGCCAAACGTCGAACTTTCATGAGACGAACCAAACTCTAATCTGGGTCTACTTAAATTGAGTTAAGATTGTCTGTTGGGTCAGACGTCCAACTTACGACGCCTCGAACCAATCAACTGAATAAGATCAGTAAAAAATTTTCTCCCGAACGAGGCTAAATATATTATAATTTATTAGTATACTGTATTTCGTTGCACGAGAAGTAAGATCGACGTTCTCCCGGAGCTGATCTTCAGACGTTCTATCCGTCCTAATATCACGGTTTATGGGGGATACGTGAACGCAAGACAAATCCGATTTCTCTTTCTTTTCCTAAACATAGATATAGACCTTAAAGTTCAACTCCAGAACATTTGACAAATTGAACGAGATGAAATTCACTTTTTAAGTGACCTTTTCGCCGCCGTTGCCGTCCTAACTGAGGGGGACATTGGGGGGTACCCAATACCGCAATACCGTAAGAAAAAATGGCAAATACCGAAATACCGCGTCGAAAATCGTCTAAATACCGATACCGCATATTTTAATCACATTCATAATCGGTTCCGCATACTTATGGGTGCTTCCATCTAGCGCGTTTAATTATCTCAGGCATTTATGCACCAGATGTCCATGTTTTTTTAATATTTTGGTAGTTGGCAAATTTTTTGGCAAATTTTCACTGAAAAGAACCTTTTGGTAGGCCGACCCAACAGCTAACTAACTCCAATAAAAATAAATCTTGAAAGCGCGAAAAAAAAAAAAACAAAACAAAAAACAAACCAACCAAAACCCTTTCCACGCTCGTCTAGTGCGAGTTTGGATGAGTCTATAGTCTAGTATGTCAGTATCTCCGGGGTCAACTATCTCGACTGTCTCCCCAGTGGGGAGGAGCGTTGCGTGACGACACTAAAAACGGCTGAGTAGCAGACTGGCACACGTACACAGATCGAAAAGCCTGGTAAGGTACCTTGAGGTGACTCACTGTCATTGGATGCAACAACAATCACATTGTGTATTATCGACCATTAACTGTCACAAAATGACCCACAATGGTTTAATCATTTACCGTCATGTCTCAAGACTTCTGAATATTAACTTTTATTGACCTTTATGTCCTACTGTGTTTTGTTTTGCGTATTGTATCGAAAAGAAAGCGCAAATAAACGGTACCGTAATACCGTGAACAATCTTATTTCACCGAATACCGTCAGCCAAAATGATGAAAAACCGCATACCGCAGAGCTAGATGATACCGCAATACCGCACGTTAAAATTAAAATTCCCGAAATACCGCCTGAAAAAAAGCCCAATACCGCAATACCGTAAACCCCCATGTCCCCCTCCTAACTGCTTGGGCCACCTGCAAGGCGGGGGGGCGTTTATAGACTTAGAAGGGATTTCGAAGCCACCTCATTTACAAAAGAGACAAAGTAATTGTGAGCCCCATAAACCACCCCGCTCATGATCTCTGGTTCTAACCTACAAGTAGTCTGTAACAACAAATTACAATGAGGTTTAACTGTACTGTTAATAATAAATCAATGTGTTTCCTGTATAGGCGGCTAATAATGTTGAAATTCCTAAGTCCTATGCAAGTGGAACCAGTGGTTTTCAGAGGGACATTACATACAGCACACAGACATTCCAGGTAACGACCACAATATTGCAATTTCAGCGCATGTATTCCCTATGCAGTTCGCCATACTTTACCTATGGTACTGAAGAGGACAATTTGATAAACTTTCAAGGCTTCTTATACTCTTGTTGATCATTTCTTCCTTTCTTACTACCTCTATGTTGGTCAAATCTCTCTTTTTTCATAACCACAGGAAGTTCCTGCTGATCAGTTGTTGGAAGATGTGGTTGGCAGACCAATGCCTCACTTGGCAGCAGCTAAACAAGCTACAGGAGAGGCTGTGTATTGTGATGATATGCCCAAGTATGCAGGTAAGTTTTAGTGGAAAAAAAATCGTAGGAAAGTTACAGTGTGAGCTTATACTAGCGTACTGCCCATGGCTCTGTGGGCGGCTGTCTTAGAGGCTGTCCACACTTGGTGATCGGACACCAGTGCCTGGGTACTGGCACATAATGGTGGAGTTTCAAGGGGTGACTTCTGCTTCGGAAGCCGTCTCTACTGGTGTGCCTCAGGGCTCTATCCTCGGACCATTATTGTTTATTCTACACATTAATGATTTACCTGAAGTAGTGTCCGATTGCAATATTCTGATGTACGCTGATGACACTGTTTTATACTGTTCATCCTCTCAAGCCTCTGTCATTCAAGACAAGCTGAATGCAGAACTGTCTAAGATTGATCACTGGCTTTCTTTTAATAGTCTGTTTGTTAATGTAACAAAAACCGAAGCTATGCTTTTCGGAACCGCCCCTAGATTATCTGCTGTTAACTCTTTTTCTATTACTTTAAATAACAATGTAATTAAGCGGGTTTTTCACTTCACTTATCTAGGTATAGTTTTTGATGACCGCCTTAGCTGGAACGAGCAAATAAAGTACCTAATTTCGAAGGCGGGAAAACGCGTAGGAATGCTCGGCAGGCTTCGCAGAAGCCTCACTAGAGAGAGTGCAAATGTAGTGTATTGTAGTCTAATTAGGCCAATTTTAGAATACTGTGTAAGTGTGTGGGGCTGTTGCGGGGAAGGTCGTAAACAAGACCTTGAAGCCCTCCAAAACCGGGCTGCTAGGATAGTGGCTTGTACTGTGCGCAGCAAGCAGGCATTGGACGTTCTGAAATGGCCCACCTTGGAGGAGCGCCGACGTCAATCTGTTTTTAAACTCGTTAAGAAATGCCTGCAAGGTCAATGTCCCCAGTATTTTAAACAATATTTTAAACGTAATGATACAATCCATGCGCGCGCTACTAAATAGACAAAGCAACCTCTTACATCCGCCTGCTGTGAGAACTGAAATTGCAAAAAGATCCTTCTATTATTATGGTTGCACTCTTTTTAACGAATTATCTTGTTGATATTCCGTGTTTTACATCTTTTAATCTTTTAATTGAAAATAGTTTTCTATTTATATTATTACCTGTATTAGTGTAATGTTTATATGTTCAGTGTGGTTTTTGTGCGTTGTTGCTCAGGGCTCCCATTGATAACAGACAGCTTTTTGCGTCTGAAGGGGCTACCCTGAGCGGTATAAATTAATAAAGGTTCTTCTTCTTCTTCTTCTTCTTCTTCTTCTTCTTCTTCTTCTTCTTCTTCATGTTCACACTTTGAGTACCCGATATGTGACTGTGTACATAGTTATTCCATTTCGCCCTGTCAGATGCCACTTTGAAACATAATCTTATGGCAGCGACAACAAAGCAGTGGACTGCAAGGAACTTACAAAAATTGTGTGCACAGAGGGACCCAGTGCCCACTTTTGTGCCCGAGTACAAGGTGGAGACCCTAGCTTGTAGTCGAGCACCGGCACCGTGCCCGAATTCTAGCGTGGGCACTTGAAAAAAGGGTGTGTTCACGTCAGTGCCCAGTGAGTACCGTGATCGGGCACCCTGCCCAGGCATCAAGTATAAACGCTGCCTTATTTTGCTAGCCTGCTCCCAAAGCTTTCAG